TTGAGAAGTGATGATACGTACAACGCCTCTTGCGAGCAGCAGGGTAAGCACAAGCAGAGCAACGACTCTTCTGGATATGGAAACTACGACGACCACATCTCACACAGAGTGTGTGACTCTTGTTCCTCCTCTTACCGAAACTTACCGTTCCCTTAGAAATCCTCAAAAACAAAACAAGCATCAGTGAATTTAAATCATCAACAAGAACATAGATTATAACAGAACCCAATTATTTTCACATGCAACAATCCTAATCAAAACCCTAATTTCGATTGCTTCAATTTCCAATTCTGTCCACAAATTAACTCATAGCATAACACACAATCAAATATATCTTACCACACTACAAGAAAACTGCCCATTTGCGACGCCCAAAGTAGTCACACATCATCGCGAAAAGGTCTTTTGCGACGGTTTTGGGACGAAAAAAGGCGTTAATTTTTCGTCGCAAAATAGATCCGTCGCACACCCGTCGCTTATTTGCGACTAATCTGTGACAATATTCTGTCATATATGTGTGACGAACCGGAGACGAAAATTTGTCGTCGTAATATAGCGACGTAAATGCGACTACATGTAGTGGTCATAAATAAACGACTAAGTTATGACGCTTACGTTCGTCATACAAGTGATCGATGTGCGACTGTTTTAAGAGGTCGTATACTTATAATTGGGAGTCTTAAATTCGTCATCACTGCGACCGATTTGCGACAGTATTAGGTGGTCATAGATTAGCGACTACTCTGGGAATGGCAAATTAGTCGATAAAGGGTGACGAATTTACAACTTTAATCCGATTATATTTGATATCGTTGAGTAAAACGACGCAATTCCGTCACAAATTTATGACTCCTGTATCACAAATTTGTGACGGAATAACTATAGAACAGATTTGGTCACAAGTTTCGTCATAGAATTGGTCACAGTTTTGGTCACAGATTTGGTCATCATGTACACAATTGTTTTGTGTTTTGAGTAAATTAAAACACTAAAAGCCATAAATTAATAAAATCCAAAACTTAAGAAATAGCATACACAAAAAAATATTTGTATGTTCAAAAGATAACAAAATAAATAAAAAGTTCATGTTTGAGATAAGGGGAGAGTAAGCGGTGGTTGATGCTGGTGGGTCAAGTGGTGTGCTGCCTGGTTCCTTGTCTTGTGCGGAGGCTGGTACGTCGGTGGGACTGTTCTCCTGCTCATCTTGTTTATCCATGTATTCTGCGATGAGGGGATCTTTGTTCTTCAAGTACCTTAGAAGCTTTGACATTTCAGAGATCTTTTCCTGAGCTTTGCGGTGTTCCTCATCACGCCGAGCATTTTTCTCCTCTTGAGCATCAATCTTACGCTGAGCTTCATGTAGTTGGTCTTGGATCTGTGAAAATTCCGGCACAGTGGACCTTGCAAAGCTTTCTTTCCCCTTTCTGCTGTCAACCATCAGAGGTAGTTCCCCAAGTCCAAATATTATTCCTTTCGGATCAGTCTGTGTACACTGAAAATTAAACCAAAACAAAACATCTATAAGCAAGCAGTTAACCAATCAAATGCTAAAACAAGAAAACACCAAGTCAAACTCTAAAACCATAAGCTGCAATTAAGCAATGAAACGCTAAAACCAGATAACAACAAGTCAAACTCTAAAACCAGAAGCAGCAGTTAAGCAATCAAACAATGTTTGTACAATTATTCAAATCCAAAGAGAGAAAGAATCACACTCTAAAACCAGTAAACTAATCAACCATTCTACAATGATTCAATACCAAAGACAGGAGGAATCAAACTCAAACTATTAACCAAAGACAGGAGGAATCAAATTCTCAAACTAATCAACCATTCTACAATGATTCAAGACTAATCAACCATTCTACAATGATTCAAAACCAAAGAGAGAAAGAATCACACTCTAAAACCGTAAACTAATCAACCATTCTATAATTATTCAAAACCAAAGATAGGAGGAACCAAACTCAAACTCTAAAACCAGTTAACCAAAGACAGGAGGAATGAAACTCAAATTGCAAAACCAGTATAGCAGAGAGCACCAGAGAAAGGAGAATACCTTGCGGAATATCTCATTCTTTTCCTCGATGGTTAGTGTCCGCTGAGTAGAGCGTTGAGAAGAATTCCCTGAAATCCCAGGCCCTTGAAGATCTTCCTCCGACATAGCTTCATTCAGTTGCTTCTCATAAGCCTCATGAACTTGTTGAGCTTTGAAATCAACAAATGTTCCATCTGGCTTTGTGTGAGTCCTTTGAAACACTTCTCCCCACGATACATGATGACCAAACTCCTCCTCATATAGTAGTAAGAGACAGTGTTAGTGTAAATATAAAGAGATGTTATACGACTACATTATATTTACACTATTTATAAGAGACAGTGTTAGTGTAAAAGCAGAGAGGAAGTATAGAGGTATAACCATTTCTAGTTGTACTCTCAAGTACGATTTTTGACCAGATACGTGCTTTGCGATGCCTAGCCCTCCACAATCCGAGTTGCGGCACTGTGAAGCAGTAGCACTCTTGTCCTGGGTCTCATGAGTTTTCCAAAACTGGTTCATCCTTTTTCAAAGCTTTGGTCCAATCCAATATGGCATTTTAGGGCCGTGCCTAGCCTGACTAACAATGTCTCTCAATCTCTTCTTTGCAATGGCCAAGAAATGCTTCTTAACAGTTGGAGTGAGTCCAACTTCTCAGTGGTACATCCGCTACAGAAAACATGAGAATGTGTTAGTGGTGACATGTCAAAGAAAGTAAGAAGTTAAATAGAAGATAACAATAACTTACTCCTTCTAGATGTAGTAAGGTCCATCAAACTTATCACGCAGAATTCCAAGGATCACAAGACCCAATTCACCATTATCCCGATCGAACCTTAGACAAACATATATTGATCAAACTAGTATAGCAAATAAGTCAAGTCAAGGCATGAATGCAACACATCAAATAAGTCAAGTAAAGGAAACTGTTAACGGTCAGGAAACACTTACCAAATAGACTTGACGTTGGGGATTGGATTCACTGACAAACG